GTAATGCGACAGGTCAAGGTAACGGTCGGGCGATGGCGGCTTTCCGCCCCACATGCCCTCCATCTCGGCGCGTATGGCCAGCACCGTCACAAAACCTTCGTGGTTGAAACCCGCGTCAGTGGCCAGTCCGGAGCCGGGCGCGACCACCGCTTCATAAGTGCCTTCTGCCACTGCGGGTGACAGCTTGAAGCGCTCTTCCAGCAAGGCAATCATCCCTGCGCGATGCGCCCGGTCAAGCACATGGCGCTGGCCTTCGATATAGGCGGCGAGGTAGTCGGTCAGCGTCTGGACGTTGGCCACTGCCCAATCGCGCATCACAAAAGCGCCTGTGGCCTGGTAGGCCCCGAGCAGATCGAACTGCGTGCCCAGGCTTTTCAGGCCCTTATCGCGCACCGTGAATGAAAACGGCGGGTTGATCATGCCTGCGGCCAGCAGTGGGTCAGCCACCATGGCGACCGAACGCGGCCCGGTGCCACCGGCCAGCTTGACGCCGTAGTCCCGGTTTTCAAGCAGGCCATTGAGCTTGAGGATTTTTTTGGCGGCCAGTGCGTACGCTGTATTGGGCGCATCTACAGCCAGCAGCTTGCCCTTGAGGTCACTCATCGTGTTGATTTCGCTGCGCACCATGAAATCATTCATGCCCGCATCACCACCGCAGACGATGACCGCATCTTTGCCGGACTCAATCATGGCTACCGCGTTATCGACGGCAGCATGCGCGATCTCGAACTTGCCCTCGGCCAGGCCTGCGCGCTGCTCATCCGAATTGGGTGTGTTCTGTATCTCTATCTCCAGCCCTCGCCGGGCAAAAAAACCGTTGGCCACTGCTGCAAACAAGGGCAGGTTGCTGGAGGTGTTGAAGATATTGACGCGAAGCTTCATTTGTTTTCCTGATTCAGTTCTGTACGGTGTCTTCGGCCAGCGCGGCCTGCGTGATGTTGTCGGTACTGAGCGGCATATTGCGCACCCGCACACCCAGTGCGTCGGCCAGTGCATTGGCTATGGCAGCGGCAACCGGGCCGTGCGTGGGTTCGCCTGCGCCTATGGATTTCTGGTCTGGCCTGTCGAGCACCTTGACCTCGACGGCTGGCACCTCGGAGAAACGCAGGATGGGGTAGCTTTCCCAGGTTTTGCTGAGCACACGCGTGCGGTCGAACTGCACCTGCTCCTTGAGCACCCAGCTCACCGTCTGGATGGCGCCGCCTTCAATCTGGTTGACAACGCCGTCAAGGTTGACGACCCGGCCCACATCAACAGCAAGCCAGAGCTTTTCAACCTTGAGCTCCTGGCCTGCATCGATCAGGGCTACCGCTGCACACCACGCACCGGTGCTTTTATACCGGGCAAAGGCCAGGCCCATGCCGCGGCCCTCGCCCCCGGCCTTCTTTTCAGCACGATGGCGCCAGCCCGACATATCGGCCACGGCCTTGAGCACCTCAAGTGCCCTGGGGTCAGAGAGGTGGCGCAAACGAAAGTCCAGCGGGTCAAGCTGCAGCGAAGCAGCTATTTCATCCATGAACGATTCGACGGCAAACACATTGCAGTGCGCACCCAGCGAGCGCAGGGACGAAGTCCGCAACGGCATCACCAGACTGCGGTGGCTGGTTGCACGCCATTGCTCAAAGTCGTAAAGCGGCGCCGAATTGCGCTCCGCACCACCACCCGAAGCAGTCGGCATGTTGATGGCGACCTGCTTTTCATAGCCCTTCTCAAGCAGGCTGGCGGCCATGAGCACGGGTATCTTGCTGCGCCCGGGCCGCATGCTGTGCCCGGTAGACCACACGTCATGCTGCCAGGTGGCAATACGGCCGCTGGCATCGACTGTTGCCTTGAGGTCAACAGCCATGGCTGCGCCAAAAGGCGCGCAGCCCAGTTCGTCTTCACGTGTCCACTGCAGCTGTACAGGCCTGCCCGGCACCGCACGCGCCAGCAGCGCAGCGTCTGCAGCGGCATCATCAGCACCGTTGTGCCCGTAACAGCCGGCACCTTCCACATGCTGCAACGCGATGTTTTCTGCAGGCATCTCAAACATCACGGCAAGGTCAGCACGCAGGTTATGCATGCCCTGGCTGTGCGTCCAGACCTTCAGCGCTGATGGCTGGTAAAGCGCCACGGCGCACGAAGGGCCGATGGATGCATGTGCCAGGAAGGGGCGCGAATAGGCAGCAGCAAACTCACGCGCACCGGCCGCTATATCTGCACCCGTCTTCTCGGCAAACACAGTCGTTTCTGCGGGCTGCGAACGCAAAAAATCCTGCATGGCGTTCATGTCTGGCAGGGCCGGCGTTTCAGACCAGGTCGCCAGCCGCGTCAACTTCGCCAGCGCCTTTACCGCGCCGTATTCGTTGTCGGCAACCACGCCAACAAAGCTGCCGTCGCGCACTGTGGTCACGACGCCTGGCAACTCATTGACGGTTTCAAGCTCAATGGGCTGCAATACTGCGCCCGGCGACGGTGGATGCAGGACACGCCCGTACAGCATGCCGGGCAGGCTCATGTCCTGGATAAAACGCGCGTGGCCCATTACCTTGTCGGGAATATCCACCCGCTGCGCCGCAAGCTGCGAACGGCCGGCAGGTTTGGGCAATGCAACGCCGCAAGCCTCGCAGTCCAGCAAGGTCTCATCAGCGAGATCCCAGTAACTGGTGACTTTGCCGTCGCCTGTGCCTATCTGCCCGTCGTTTACCTCAAGCTTTGCAACGGCGTCCGGCGTCAGGTTCAGGCGCGCTGCTGCCGCCAGCAGGTAAATGGCCCGCACCTCGGCACACACCTGGCGCAAGGCGCCGCCGGAGTCGTGCACCGACATGCTGCCCGCCGTGACGCCTTCATTCGGACTGCCGCCTGTGCTGGCTGCAACCAGGCGCACACGCGACAAGGCAATATCCAGTTCCCCGGCCACGATTTGCGCGAGCGCCGTGATGATGCCCTGCCCCAGTTCGACCTTGCCGGTGTAGACCGACACCGTGCCGTCAGCATGAATCGCCAGCCATTGCGACAGCCTGCGGTTCAGGTTCAGGCTACCCGGCAAGGT